AACATTTCCTCTGGCCATTCCTGAGATAGTGCATCTATCCCCAAGGGACCTCCCTAGTTGTTCAGGGAATACCATAGATCGCAATGAGTTGTCTCTGTAGTCGCAAACAGATCGACCCTCGCCATTCCGAACTGATTCCAAATGATCCTCATCACTTCGGGATGGAGACGACACTCTCCCGGGAGAGGTCCAGTTCGAGACAGCAGGTCTGCTGCTGTGTTTGCTACTCCTGGTATGTATACTGCTCTGAGTGACGAGAGCTTCAGAAATGCCCAAGAAAGTAGTTCCTTTGTCAACTGGAGACATCGCACCGATCTGGTACCGCCTTGGTGATTGATGTGGTACACCGCAGACATATTGTCTGTTCTCACCAAAACATGTTTGTTCTGCAACAACGGGAGAAAAGCCCTCAAGGAGAGAAGGACTGCCTTGAGTTCCAGCACATTGATGTGCTCCGAGGTTCAAGGGGATTCCCAGAGTCCTCTGATTGACCTGCCTTTCCAAACTGCTCCCCACCCCGTTAGAGAAGCATCTGTCGTTATCATAGATCGCCTTGTCGGGATGTTGCCTAGAGGAACCCCTTGTGATGGTAACGTCCTCGTATTCCAGGGACGTAACATTTGGATACATCTTCGTGTAACCCTTATCTTCACATGCCTTTGTAATTTGGGGTGCAGGTGAAAGTTGTTCAACCAACGTTGAAGTGGACGGGCTCTGAGAAGGCCGAGTGGGACCACAGTCACTGCCGCTGCAATCATGCCCAATAATCGCTGAAATTGAATTAACTTCATTCTCTTGTTCAGACGAAATGACTGAGCTAGACTGACCAACTGTTCCACCCTCTGGGGTGACAAAGATGCAATCATCAGTTGGGAATCCAGCGAAATTCCCACAAACACTGTCCGTTGTCTGGGACTTAGATTGCTCTTTTCACAGTTCACCTTGAAACCCAGTGACTGTACATGTTGAAGGACCATTTCTGTGTTCTTCAGTACTTGGCTGCGAGAAGGAGCACAAATTAGCCAGTCGTCCAGGTATGACAGAATTTTCAAACCTGCACATTGAAGAGGACGAAGGGCTGCAGAAACCACTCTGGTGAAGACCCTTGGAGACAGAGACGGGCCAAATGGAAGGACCCTGAACTGGTAGACCCGATTTTGAAACACAAAGCGAAGAAACGGACAATGATCTTGACAGATGGGTATGTGGAAATATGCATCCTTTAAGTCTATGGATGTGAACCATTCTCCTGGTTGTATGGATTCCAGAATTTGAACTGTAGTCAGCATTTTGAAGGGCAATACTTTTATGAATCGGTTCAGCTGTCGTAAGTCCAGAATGGGTCGAAGTCCCCCGTCTTTCTTTGGTACTAGGAAATACTTCCAATAGAACCCAGTGAGCTGTTTGCTGGTACTTATCTGTACAATTGCTTTTTTCTGTACCAAGACATTTGGACCCCTGAAAAAGTAGGAGGGCGCCGCCGGAATTGTATCCTGTCTTGATCGTATCTAGAACCCAAGGATCTGATGTTACTTTCTCCCAACTGTCCGGGGTTTGAAACCCCTGGTAGCACGTCTTTTAAATGACCCTCCCCTGACTGGAGTATGAGACTGGTCAGTCTGGGGGGCCTGGTAAAATGGTCTGGTGCCTCGATCATGGAATTGGTAACCCCTGGTTCGCCTTCTGTCATACCCCCAAGTTTCTGAACGAGGAAAGTGTTGGGGCTGAAAGGAATGGGCTGCTCTATGGCCATATTTGGTAGGTCCACCAAATGTCTGCTGAACTGATTCCCTTCTGCGTCTTGCTTGATCAGCAGTGTCCAGCAGAGACTGTGAATCAGTGTGAAATATCCGACCTGGAACCACTGGCATATTAGTCAGGTCCTTCCTAATAGCTTAAGGCAAAGATGTCTGTGCCAACCAGATTTGTCTTCTGGCTAAGATAGCTAAAGACCTAGATGCTCCAATATCCCTAGTAAGCTGTGAGTGTGTGATGAGTGCTGTGTCAATTAAACTCATCATATCATGCTCTTCTTTATTAACAACCTTCCTCAAAGCAGCCAGAACTATTGCTAAAGCATTTCCTGATCGAGCTGCTCGGGTAGCTGCATTATACGCTTGGCTCATTAACCGATCAGTCTTTTGGCACTCTTTACCAGGACAACGAGGGTTATCTGTAACCTTATCAGGTCCCAAAGTAGTTAAGGCTGCAATCTCGCTCCACTGATGGTATGTTCCCCATACCACTCTCAGGGGGATAATCTAATTTAATAAACCGCCTGCAACCTGCATTAAACTCAGGTGCAGCCTTTGGATTATTCCAGGCTTTCCTCAGCATCTGGGAATAATCGTCAGCCACAGGAATGGACACAGTGGGCTGTGCAGGGGAAATACTCGTCCATACACCTTGTGTGGGGGTTGGAGCAGTAGCTTCTTCCTGAGCATCAAGGCCCAGGATCCTTGCTGCACTTAAAATGCGTGAAAGAATGTCAGAATGCAGGTTTCCTTCTGAAACTTCGGACCTGGATTCATCGTCCTCATTTTCGCCAATATCCTCCTCACTACCATAAAGGGAATTATTTGCATGCAGTGACACGGCATCCATAGAATCATCCCTCTCTTCCTGATGTGATGTTAACTCATCTCCAGAAGAGGGTGCAATAGGGGCAGTATTTTAGCATGTTTTTTTCAGTACTCTTTAGACCTACAGTGAGGAAAATAAGTATTTGAACACCCTGCTATTTTAAACACCCTCCTACGTTATCCCACTTAGAAATCATGGAAGGGTCTGAAATTGTCATCGTAGGTACATGTCCGCTGTGAGAGGCATACACCTAAAAAGAAAAATCCAGAAATCACTATATGATTTGTTTGTATGATACAAATACTGTAAGTATTTGAACACCTTTCTATCAGCTAGAATTCTGTCCCTCAAAGACCTGTTGTCTTCCTTTAAAATCTCCACCTCCACTCCATTTATTATCCTAAATTAGATGCACCTGTTTGAGGTTGTTAGCTGCATAAAGACTCCTGTCCACCCCATACAATCAGTAAGAATCCAACTACTAACATGGCCAAGACCAAAGAGCTGTCCAAAGACACTAGATACAAAATTGTACACCTCCACAAGGCTGGAAAGGGCTATGGAGAAATTGCCAAGCAGCTTGGTGAAAAAAGGTCCACTGTTGGAGCAATCATTAGAAAATGAAAGAAGCCCTCGGACTGGGGTTCCATGTAAGATCTCACCTCGTGGGGTCTCAATGATCCTAAGAAAGGTGAGAAATTAGCCCAGAACTACATGGGAGGAGCTGGTCAATAACCTGAAAAGAGCTGGGACCACCGTTTCCAAGGTTACTGTTGGTAATACACTAAAACGTTATGGTTTGAAATCATGCATGGCATGAAAGGTTCCCCTGCTTAAACCAGCACATGTCAAGGCCTGTCTGAAGTTTGCCAATGACCATTTGGATGATCCAGAGGCATACTTGTCAACATTTGGTTTTCAAAATTGGTTGGCGAATACAAATAAGGTGTTGCCCCTTTAAGAGCTGTGCGCTCCTTGTTGAACTGTCGGCAGTATTGTATTGTATGTGCCGTGTGTTTCGAACACCCCTTTTTACTGTCTATGCGGACACCGCATGCGGGTATATCATGTTTGATGCTCATTTTTATCTTATTTTGTTTATTAAGTAACGAGTACACTAGATTGATGTTTATTAGTAGTTAGATTTGGGAATAAAGTGCGAGTTGTGAGATGCCAATCACTTCCGTGAGTCTGTCTGGCCCCTCTGCATGCAATAACTTCAGTTGTGTGCTATGCTCTGTGGATTGTTGTGTGAATATAATACATTCAATCAAATATATAGGATATCCCTTCGAGCTGTCCTGGATGAACGTGAATTATTTTTTCCATTCAGTTTGGAATTTGCAGGCATATTTTCTCTTTTCATTCGCCATGGTCTCTTCTTTCTTCCTTTTCCCCTATTATTGTTCAGTCTGAAATGGCGCCCAGTGATGGATGGTTGTTGTCTGGGTGGAAATCGGGAGAAAGGTCGGTCCGGGAGATTTTTGGGAGGGCCTTTGAAATTCGGGAGAAAGTCATGTGGTCAGATGAGACCAACATAGAACTTTTTGGTCATAATTCCACTAACCGTGTTTGGAGGAAGAAGAATGATGAGTACCATCCCAAGAACACCATCCCTACTGTAAAGCATGGGGGTGGTAGCATCATGCTTTGGGGGAGTTTTTCTGCACATGGGACAGGGCGACTGCACTGTATTAAGGAGAGGATGACCGGGGCCATGTATTGCGAGATTTTGGGGAACAACCTCCTTCCCTCAGTTAGAGAACTGAAGATGGGTCGAGGCTGGGTCTTCCAACATGACAATGACCCGCAGCACACAGCCAGGATAACCAAGGAGTGGCTCAGTAAGAAGCATATCAAGGTTCTGGCGTGGCCTAGCCAGTCTCCAGACCTAAACCCAATAGAGAATCTTTGGAGGGAGCTCAAACTCTGTGTTTCTCAGCGACAGCCAGAAACCTGACTGAGAAGATCTGTGTGGAGGAGTGTGCAAAAATCCCTCCTGCAATATGTGCAAACCTGGTGAAAAACTACAGGAAACGTTTGACCTCTGCAATTGCAAACAAAGGCTACTGTACCAAATATTAACATTGATTTTATCAGGTGTTCAAAAACTTATTTGCCGCTGTATTATACAAATAAATAGTTAAAAAAAACATACATTGTGATTTCTGGATTTTTCTTTTTAGATTATGTCTCTCACAGTGGACATGCACCTACGATGACAATTTTCGACCCCTCCATGATCTCTAAGTGGGAGAACTTGCAAAATAGCAAGGTGTTCAAACTTAATTTCCTCACTATATATAATATAACATTTTAACAATTTTTTTTCATGAATTTTAAATACCGAAGCAAAACTGCTCTAGATCTTTATTTAAAAATCATCAGATGGTTGACTGTCTGATTTTTTTCTGCAGGTTAGGAAAAGATGGAAAGAGAGATGATAGAAAAGGAGACAAGAGAAAAGGTAAGACAATAAATGGTGAAATGCTATGCAGTCCTTAAATATAGATAATCACCTATTATCTAATATCACCTATTATCTAATATTAATGATACTGTTTAGTACATTTGTATTTTACTTTTTCAATTCTTCAACTAAAGGCGTTTCTGCAGAGTCCAGACTGCATAAGTTGCATGGGGAGATTAAATCATCTTTAAAGATTGATAACCTTGTAAGTACAGACTACAGTTAAGATTTTCATTCTTACATATAGCTTTTAAACCATATTTGTTTAATGACATAAGTTGACATTTGTAGTTCTCACATTTCAAAGAACAATTTGCTCATAATCTATTTGAACCTAATGTTTTGTAAATGCACACTCTCTCTTTTCTTAGGATGTGAGGAAATGTGTAGTTGCATTGGATGAGTTGAGTTCACTGCATATTACTACTCAACATCTTCAGAGACACTGTGAACTCATAACTACTCTTAAAAAGGTATGATTAATTTTGTTCTGGTCAGCATTGGACAGTTGTCATGTTTATTAATTACTATTGTACACCACTTGAAACAAAAACTACAAACTTAAAGGTTAACTAAAATGAATCATACCTTTATATTTTCTTTAAAGGTCCGCAGATTCAAAGCCAGCCAGGATGTGATGGACAAAGCCACAATGCTGTATAATAAGTTTAAAAGCATGTTTTTAATGGGAGAAGGCGAGTCAGTGCTCAGTCAAGTGCTCAATAAAAGTCTGACTGAACAGAGACAGTTTGAAGAGGCCAAGAGGGGAGTGCTAAAACACACAGAACAGACCAAAGAGCAGAAAGGTAAATAACTGACTGCTACATGCTTGATTTACAGCTTTCGTTTACATTTCATTAGACTTGATGCAATTGTAATGTAATTGATTTACATCAATTACATTCCATACCAAACTATTACATCAATAATGAAAACAACAACAAAAAGCACAAGTACTAGACTGCATATTAAGGAAAATTCTAATGTAAAGCAGCATTCTGTGGAAATTTGTGCTGTGAAAACAGGGAAAAATACATTTACACTATTAAATAACCAATAATCATTTGTGTATATATATATATATATATATATATATATTTGGGGTGTAACGGTTCACAAAATTCAACGTTCGGTTCGATATGATACACTTGTCACGGTTCGGTACGTTTTCGATACAGCAAAAAGAAAGAAATGCCAGACAAATTTCCTTGATTTAAATTTTTTTTTATTATTATTATTAAAACTAACATCATAAAGTATGATTTTTTTTTTTTTTTAATTTATTTATTTATTTTTTACTTTGAGCAATGATGAAGCTATACTTGACTTTTCTTAGGAGCATATAAAACAAAACAGCTCCTTGGACAAAATGAAATGTTATATTGTAATACTTATGAACAATGATTTTTTTTTTATTTCAGATTAACATTTGAGGGAATAAACTGTATTCATAATGTCGAAATAAAACCGACGTAATGTTACTTGAAAGCATTGTAGCCCACTATTCCTGCCAAACTTCCATGGTTAGAGATAGTAGCCGAGTGTTAATAGAGTAAATCCATGGTAAATGTTGCTGATCTGTGGACACTGAATAGTTCATAGATGGCACAATGTTTCTTCCTGGGTCCATGTCAGCACTGTTTGATCCGTTAATAACAGAGAAATGTGAATGTTTCTCACTAGATCTTGCAGCAATGTTATTACTTCAGTGGCGAATTCATTTTTTTTTTCTCTACTAGATTTCGCTGTGTAGTAACAGTGCAGCTTGATTAAAATCGGCTTGCGTTGCATTTGCCATTGATTGCAATGTTGTGGTCACGTCTCTTATATTATGAGCGTGCTTGCCACACGCAAAGCATCTACATTTGAATTGACGAAATTTTAGTCGGCGGATAGATTAAATAGCATTTGATACTTTAAAGGGCACCTATTATGGAAAATTCACTTTTACATGGTGTTTGAACATAAATGTGTGTTGGCAGTGTGTGAGCAAAACCACCCTAGAATGATAAAAATCCACCCAGTGTTTTTTTTTTTTTTACAATCTCAATAAATCATAACCACTGTCTCAAAACGAGCTGTTCTAAGATTCAGCGCTTTGTGACGTAGAATTGAGCAAGGGGTTTGATTGACAGTGTGGTTGTGGCATAGACCCCGCCCTCGGTGTTCTGTACACCATCCTCCATTGTTTCAACGACAGCCGGTAATGTCTCTTGGAAACATAATTGTTCTGTTGTGGGATGGGATGTAATAATGACATACATATGCTGCGTTTTCGTTCAAATTACGAGTTGAACGCACTTGAACGCCACCACAATGTCGTAAATACCAGTGGGGAGCTCGGGATTTTCTGTAAGCCCCGATCTGTACGAGTTGGGGGCGTGTCAGTGAGAAATGTTCATTCAACGTCTGTTGACGGTAAATTTTAATTGAATTTCAATGTTTACTCATTGACATTGTAAGGCTGTTTCATTTATAAAGCAAGCTCTCTGCACAAAATATGATATTACTTTGTAATATAAAAATTATAGCTAATGATAGAGTTTACATTGGCTTCATAAGCTAATAAAAACATAAAAAGAAAAACACACCTGATGCACATTCTTTGTTCTTCATTTTTTTTATTAGCAGAGTTAACAAACCTTGCTGTATTTTCGTGTTATTTCTTATTTCCGACATCATAGCCACTGAAAACACAGTGGATGTATTGTATTTTGGAAGTTTAAGTGGCACCTTTCCTTGGTATATAAGTTTACAGATTTAGCCAGCAGCCATATCACCCTGTAGCCCAAGACTGGTTGCCCATTAAAGCTAAGCAGGGCTGAGCCTGGTTAGTACCTGGATGGGAGACCTTCTGAGAAAGCCAGGTTGCTGCTGGTAGAGGTGTTAGTGTGGCCAGCAGGGGGTGCTCACCCTGTGGTCTGTGTGGGTCCTAACACCCCAGTATAGTAATGGGGACACTATGCTGTCAAAAAGAGCACCGTCCTTCGGATGAGACGTTAAACCGAGGTCCTGACTCTCTGTGGTCATAAAAAATCCCAGGATGTCTTTCGTAAGAGCAGGGGTGTAACCCCGGCATCCTGGCCAAATTTGCCCAGTGGCCTCTGTCCATCATGGCCTCCTAATCATCCCCATACACCAATTGGCTTCATCACTGTCTCCTCTCCACCAGTAAGCTGGTGTGTGGTGAGCGTTCTGGCGCAATATGGCTGCCGTCGCATCATCCAGGTGGATGCTGCACACTGGTGGTGGTTGAGGAGATCCCCCCCTTCTATGTGAAGCGCTTTGAGTGTCCAGAAAAGCGCTATATAAATGTAACGAATAATTATTATTATTATTATTATTTATGTTTGAGCAAATAATTTTCTGACTGACTGTTTTGTGAACGAGGGTCAATTGAAAGCAGGTCTTGCTTCAAAGTTAATCCTCAAGTGTGGATCGTCGTCTACTGTTTGTGATCCACCGTCAGCTCCAGTAAGTGTATTTAATGATTTTTGAGCAAATAGTCATTTCAGTCGATGTCAGCCAATTCAACAACAAATGTGTCTAAAGTTGTTGTCGTCGTCGTAGGATATATGTGTAAATGTGTATATAATTTAAACCTTGTTTGTATAGTGTGTAACCACACGTTTATAAATATATATATATATTTTTAAAGATATAGACCTTATTCAGAGCAGCGCCATGACAGGTATGAAAGTGAGGCTGTGAGGGATAGACTTACCATGTTTCCAATGGCATCCGCTGTAAAAAGCAGCTAGATTACTTACAATTTTTTACAGCTTACATTGTCGGGAGTTTTTTTTGTCAACTGACATTTCTTTGAAGGATATTTTTCCAGTGTTTCATGAGCAGAACAATCCGAAAACACATTAAATAACAGTACAGCCCATTGAAGAGATGCAAGTCTATCCCTCACAGCCTCGCTTTCATTCAAAGATGGCGCTGGCGTGAATAAGGCGTATTGTATTAAAAACTGCATATATGTTCTTGTTCTGTAAGTGAGCCATCTTCTCACATTTGCCACAGAAGCACCTGTATGACAAGCAAACACGACGCAACAGGTCCCTCGCATAAATGTAATTTCGCTTGTACGTAGCAAACTTTATCACTTTATAGTATGTGTATGTAGTTTAAAAAAATTGCGCCAACGTTAGTGTTTGTGTGTGTCTGTGTGTTGCACATCCATAATTTCAAAGGGGACGCGATTACAACTCTAAGTACATAAATGTATCAAATAACCATACCGAGACGTACTGATCAGAGACTATTTATATATTCTGATTCAAACATGTGCTGAATGACATACAAAACAGTGTCTCTCTCAGCCATTCTGCTTAGACCAACTGCCATAGATATGCAAGTGCCTCATCCAAAGGCAGGGTGGGGATATGCAGCTCAGAGCCGGCCCGAGGCATAAGCGAACTAAGCGGGGTTATTTTTTATTAGTATTTTTTTTAGATTACTTAAACAAGTGACATAAATCAATGAATGAATGAATATGACTGAATGAATCATTCAAGACAACAAAACTCTGAGCTAATGATCAATATACCTGCCTACAAGTTACAACTGCTGCTGTGTCTGCCAGCGTTTAAGTCATGCGCATAATCCTCTAGACACCTCGCTCGTGCATAGACAATTTGTGCGCAACTGCGCCTAGTCACGGTATCTGTATCAGAGAAAACAGCCCGCAGGGGAACTTAACCTTCAAGGTGTAAGGGTAGCAGTTTAAATAAATAATAAACATAGCAGTTTTTGAACTCTTCTCCACTTTATTATACCACACATCAGACCTCCAAAAACTCACGACACTCCAGCAGCCTACTAAGTGCGCAGTCTGCGCACGACCCATCTACGGCAAGCCCCGAGGGGAAAAATACATTGCATACACGCATACAACGAGCGCCAGAACATCATTAACGGTATTATAGTAACAGACTTTGTTGGATTATGTCATGTAATATCTAACAAAGTCTGTTACGATAATAATAATAATAAAGCTTTTGAGGACACTGTATTGAGACAGTTGAGAAATACTAGGCCAAATATTTTTAGTTTTCAACAATAGGCTTGTTGAAGCCTTGCTCTTATGTTTCTCAGTTTTGTCATAATTTTAGCAAATAATTTCTTTTATATGTTTTGAGACAGTTTTAAGACTGTTAACTTTTTTTATTTAAGTAGGCATCTATTTTTTTTTTATTAAGTATTAATTTTGTTGTAGCCTAATACATAACCTAAGTGTATTCATTTATAATGTATCATTATTGCGTGACATTTGTGTCAATAATCGTCAAACACAGGTGACTCCGCGTCGTGGGATGGGCCCCCAAATCAAATTCTGCTTAGGGCCCCCAAAAGGCTCGGGCCGGCTCTGATGCAGCTCATCAGCATTTAAGGTCGTATAGACCAAAACAGCTAATTGTTTGTTTGTTTGTTTGTTTTTTGTTTGTTTGTTTGTTTTACCTTTATTGTCTGTTCAGATTAACTGGACAGAAATTCATCTTTGATACTGGCTTCAACAACATTCTACAACCACATTAAACACAAACACATTTTTACATTTTTAAACAGGCCCCAAAAATGTCATTTTCAAATGGTTATAATAAATGAACTGTGGGGTATTTTGAGCTGAAACTTCACAAATACATACTGGGGACACCCAAGACCAATATTAAATCTTGTAAAAAGGGGCATAATAGGTGCCCTTTAATTAGAATTCATCTTTAATTTACATTGTGTACATAATTATTAGGCACGTTGATTTTCTGATCATTTTTTTCCAGGTACATTTTACCAATTCCAAACCACATTTACAGTATATTCAGGTGTGCAGCATTTTTAGGCATGTTTTCTTTTAAAATAAGCCAAAAAAATGAGATTTAACCCAGACTGAAAAGTAAAAATGTATTAAATGCCCATGAGAAGGATGCTATACTAATGCAATACTAGAAATTGCAGTAGAAGGCATGACCATTGGACATTGTCTAAAATGCTCATTGGGTCAACAGGGTCATTCAAAATCAAGTGGAGAAGAAAAGTTAACTGCAACCTATGATCATTTGAACCGTTGCACCTCTATATATATATATATATATATATATATATATATATATATATATATATATGTGTGTGTACAGTACATATATGTTGTTTACATTAAAAAAAAAACTTTTGCTCAAAGCAAGCCGATCCATTTTTCCATGTTGATAAGATTTAAAATGGGAAAAAATAATGTGACAAATAGATAAAAATGTGTGATGAATCGCGAGTTAACTTTGACATTGTCATTAATTGCAATTAAATAATTTAATCATTTGACATCACTAATAAATATAGTACACACAAATACAGTCATGTAAAAAAGATAGGATACCCCATGAAAACCTTTGTCTTTTTCAACATATGGACATTATATCTTAATTTTAACAATATTGAGAGAACATCATTAGAGATGATTGTGGAGGAAGCCTGTCTTATTTAAACCTCAGTTTGGTTTGCTCTTGATTGTGGAAGTGAGTGAAATCACCATGGTGAGATCAAAAGAGCTCTCTGAGGCCTTCAGTAAGAAGGTTTTTGATGCATATGAGTCTGGGAAGGATTTTTAAAAAATCTCTTAAATATTCAAAATCAGCCATTCCATTGTCCGTAATTTTTTTTTTACAATTGGAGAACATTTTAACCCTCTGGGCTTCTTCGTCCGAAAATGACCGAAAACGTTTACGTTTCGTATTGTTAAATTTTTTTTTTGCTTCATTGGATGGGGGTGAAACTTGGTGACTTTTGTTGTATTACCTATATGAACACACAAAAATATCAAGGAGATGATTTTGATTTGTTATAGAGCTGTAAAAAAAAAAAAAAAAAAAAAAGTTACACTTAGCATCCTCCCGGTCAAAAACGGACGACATAGGAAATGAATGGGAAATACGAAAAAAACAGGAAAACTCAGAGAAACCTTTGGTGGTATAAGCTACAGATCAGCAACTGTGCAGAAAAAAGTGTACAGCAATGAAGGGGTCACACTCTCTAAAACATCAAGAGTGCAAATAAGACCCCCCCACACACACACACGCAAACAAACACACACACATACACACCGATAAACTGGCAAGACTGCAACAGCAAATTTGTAGAATATGCAAAAATAAATCAATAAAAATACAAAAGAGACTCTCGTTAAAATGCAACGCACACACACAGAGAGAGAAAATTAACTTAATTAGCATTATTTTATCTTTATTTCTGTTTGATCATAATTGCTGATAAAAAAAAACAATTTATTGCAAAATGTCTGTATAAAGTGTTTTGAATTATCACTAACCATCCCTTATTTTGTTCAATTATTTGAATTATCAAATACTAAGTAACAAAAATGTATGCACTGTGTTCCCTTTCTAACCAAATGCTATAGTTTGATTGTAATCATAATGCAAAACCTGATACTAATCTAAAAATATTTGTTAAACTAAAGTAGTTGTCTTTTAGAATATATAAATGTATATCTAAATTTAAAAAAAAAAACAAATAAGATAGAGAAATCATGTCTCAAACAACAAAAAGAATAAAAAAAAGCCTTTCTATGTATTTATATAGGAAGCTATAGGCAGCCTACAGGCTGGTACAGGACATTGCACACATCTAACTATTTTTTAAAGCCACTAGATGGCGCTCTTCTATTTGAACATTTTTTTTATTACTGTAAGCTGGCACTCTATATTGATGTGAAATGTTGCATTTATTGGAAAAAAAAATTCACAAAGATATATTAATAATCCATAATGTTAAAATCACTTTTTTTTTTATTTGCTTGTGCCTCCCATGTTTGCGATCTCCCTATCAAAAGCATAAATGGTTTGGTAATGTAGTCCAGCGGTTAAATTCAGTTTGTGGCAGGGAAAGGAGCCTCGCACTACAAACCCCCCCCCCCCCCCCCCCCCAAAAAAAACAATAAGCCTAAATCGGGTATCAAAAAAGAAATGTGAAAAAAAAAGTGAAAAGAAGACTGCAGGAGTATGTGATCCATCCATGACTATTATCATGGATGAATGCACTTTGATGGACTTAAAAAAAAAGGGAAAAGTGCTCCAAAAGGCTCTGGGGGGTTAATAAAGTATAAAGTACTATTTAAAATGCTTAAGCTTAAAAAATGGTTAAAATGCTTAACTGCACTTCCGCATTCGTCATTACGTTGTGCGTCAAGGGTTACTCTTTCTTCGTAATTGATGCATAAGGCCATCTGCTGGAAACTAGTTATTTTAGTCCATAAAGTTTTAATTATGGATATTTTTCTTACACAAACACATCGCTTCTCTTCAGAAGGCCTTTATTTACTTTATATATATATATATATACAGTGTATATATATATATATATATATATATATATATATTTTTTTTTTTTTTTTTTTTACTTGCAAATGGGCGGATTGCATTATTCCTCCATTTAGAAGGGATAATGTGAAATAATGATGACAATTAGTTGTTGTTATAAAATAATGTTTTGACATAATTTGAAAACATACTGTAATATTTGACCGTCATAATGATACAAGGCCTGGAGACTTAACTAACACTATGTGAACGGTACAAAAATATATATGTATTTTAAGTAGACAATTTTTAGACGAAACCACCCACCACCAATCAATCACAACATATTTCTTTGAAGGTTTCTTTGGCTAAAAATGTATACATTTATGCTGCAAAATGTAATTCCAAACATAAATCAAAGTGTGTATATGCAAATTACTTGTTTAGTAAAAAAACACAAATTTGTTTGCATGTGTACAGATATCAAGATGTTGAATGAAGACTTCAACCCTGAAGAGGATGCTGAGACAAAGAGGGAGAAATTTGGAGAGAATATCTTGTCTGTTGTGAAAAACAAGTAACAATATCTTTTCAGATTTTCATTAAGTCCTAAATTATTTGCTTCTAGCAGTCTGACAAAAAAAATATAAATCTTTTTGTAGTGTGACTAATTCTATGGAGGAGTCTGTCTGAAGATGTTTGTTCACTGAAGAGCCACCAGTTGCCAAGTGGAAGATCATGTTCCGTGGGCAAGCCCCCTACAGATCATTATTTTACTTTATTTTTTCAACACTCTGTAAAGACAAAGATGCTTTCCCAGATGGCAGTGATTCTGTTATAACTGTTTTCAGCTAAATGTAATGTATTCTAGAGAGCTCTGTTAGAATTACGGTTAACCAATGCAACTATATGCCATTAAAAAAAGAAAAAGTTACACACAGTATCAAAAGTGCCATTTTATAATAGTAGATAGATAGATTAGTGTCAAAATAGATATACATTTCTGTATATACATGTCTATAGTGGATTTGAACTCGGGTCTCCCACACCAAAGGCATGTGTCTAATCCACTATGCCATCACCACCCCACCACAATATATTTGTGATTTTTTTTTTTTACATTTAAGTTTTATTGTAGCTTTGTTATGCTGTTGCATCTCTAAAATCATTTATTTTAATGCAGGAAAATTAAGTACTCCTACATTTAGACTGCTGTCATAAAAAAAAAAAAATCAGTTTTAGTCTTAATAAAGTAGTTTACTTCAGAAACTCTTCTTTTGACCATTTGATACTGTTTGGTCATTAGCAACCAAAATCTGTTTTTCATAAGCAACTTGGTTAATTTTGTGGCATTTGCTATCTGAATTTCAACAGAGTATCTGTGATTTTTACACATCTGCACCTCAGGTCCATGCTCTGTGACCCCACTACTATGATTCGTTTGTGCTGTTCCTAAAAGCTTACGATTTTAAATAATATCACTTAAAGTTGACAGTGGCAGGGATATCTAGCAGGGATAAAATTTCAGAAACATACTTGTTGTAAAATACTTGTCCTATCACATTACCACGCTCAAAGTCACTTAGCTCTTCAAAACGTCCTATTTTTTCCGCAAATTTTTGTAAATACATGATGCCTTCTGACTGGGGATGTCTCTTTTGCAGAGACCACTCGAAATTATCAAGAGTGCAAAATAACTGTAGAAGGACTTCCATCTCCTCCTTTGTGGGCACATGTGCTTCATTCAATAATCACCACAGAGACCATTTTAAAATGTGTTTATTAGCATATTAACTTGATTCTATTTGAGTGTTCACTGGTCTCACAGCAGTTCTGATTATTCTATGTAAAAGTAATATTCTGAATCTGCTTTTAATAGGTACCAGTCCAGCCCTACTGTACATCTTTTTTATGGTTTGTACTTTTCTGGTCGATTTTCTTATTTGCAAAACAAATGTATCAACAATCCTCAAAATCAAAAACATACATGAAACAAATCAGTTAAATTTGTAAATGGTAACAATTTAAATACTAAGTAAATAAATAAATAATATGAAAGTAAAGCTAAGTCATATATACCATGACCATTTTTTTTTTGTCTCACCACATAGTAACCATATTACTATGGTTTACAGGAATGTACAATGCAATTGTTTTCCCCATTTATCAAAATAGGTCTTCCAGAAGATTTCCAGCATCATTGTGGATACAGAAATGCATCATGCTGGGTAGATGTTTAATTGTAATTAGACATCTACCCAGTTTAATTAGACATCTACCCAGCAAGATGCATTTCTGTATCCACAATGATTCAGGTTTTTTTGTAACATGATTTAGAGGTAGAGAGTTACCAATAATGTATACACTAGGACAGAACTCATACATCTAAAATATAATCATGCACATCTTTCCAGAAAATAGTGGACTATTGCCATAAGTAAAATAGGTTGTCTCTCTGTTGCATCTGCAACATTCAGGATCATAAAACCTGCTCTAAACAGCCTTGTGTGTTCAGGAGAATCTGTAATTTGTTTTAATTCCACAAGACGTTTTCTAATATCTCTAGAACAGTGGCGGATGTAGAAAGTGGATAATGGGTGGGCAGTAGTGTTCTCATAAATGTTGTGTCACTTTTCTATGATTTATGATGTGATTAATGACCACATGTTGGTACAGGATTGTGTGCCTGGCTGTCACCCCATGACTCGACTGATATGTGTCAGTCACGACTGTCGTAGTGTTCTTGTATCAAGTAAACAGTGTTGACAGGCGCCTGTGGCCATTTCTCAATACCAAGTACTTCGGACTTGCGTCCTTGGTAGTTCGGACTTGCCAAGTTCGACTCAGGAGAACGAACTCCCGAGGACACGCGAGGACTCATGTCCGGTTCTTCTGCAAATGGAACAGAGCGTTCTTGATCGCGTCACTCAGCACGCTCAAGCTACTCCAGTTAAATCTTTAATATATACTATAGGCAACATTAAAACTAAATATGCTACAACCCTGCCTCTTTTCATCAACAATAAAATGAAATGTTATAAACACCACTCTGCCTCTTTTCATTTAAAAAAATCTCAAACTTATTAGCCTAATGGCCATGTGCTTCAGGCAACGTGTTGATTATCTTCACTGCATATATTTATAACAAAATGAACATGATGTTTTTGTTTTCATTATAAAAATATGAAACATTATTGATTTTTATTGGTATTTTATTGTACATACAGTGACGACAATGTTAAATATATATATTTACATAAGTATATAAAATAAAATGACAACCCTTTCTCTTTTTCTTAAATGTCAGTTTTAATGATCAATAATATCTTGCCTAAAAGGTATAGAAGCTACAATGAGAAATAAGGCAATCCGTCTGTAGTACATCAGGATTCACGGGACGTGTTCCCGGTTCCGGCTGATCTAAACTATGCAGCCTAATTTTGAATTAAGGAAGTCTATAGTGTGTTATGTGTATGCTACGCCAAAGAGATGTCTTTTTAGTCTAGATTTGAACTGATAGAGTGTGTCTGTTTCCCAGACAATGTTAGGAAGATTGCTCCAGAGTTTTGGTGTTAAATATAAAAAGGATCTACCGCCAGCAGTCGATTTAGATATTCTAGGTATTATCAACTTTTTCCAGCTAAAATTAGTTTTGATTGATTTTCTTCCGTCGAAATGATCATTTGGTATTAAATTAGGGGCTGCTAAGACCACACCGTTCTCTCTAACAGACTTTAAAGGAGCTGTATGTAAGATTATGGCCAAAACTGGTACTGCAATCACTTTCAAATTAATGTAGAGGGGTGTATCCCCTCCCCCTCCTCCATGACTTAAGGTTGCCAGATAGGCTGCAGGATTTTATTTTATATTAATCACTTTCACATTAAAATTCACATGTGAATGAAACTTCACAATGCTTTATCTATAAGGATCCTCCATAGGGAGAGGCTAGTTGGCACTTCAGCACTGCGTTGTCATCGGGTGCAGGCGAAGGTCCTTCGTCAGATCTGGAAAAGGCCTGGGTCCGGTAGGCTGCGGGAAAACCTTGGGACACTAAAATTAGCATATATGCCATTCTTCTTGTGATGTAACGAGTACATCAGGATTTAAGGGAAGTGTTCCCAGTTCCGGCTGACCTAATCTATGCAGCCCAACATTGAATTATAAAACTCGATAATGTATTGTGTTTTTAGCGTAGCTTTGAACTGACAGAGTGTGTCTGCTTCCCAGACAATGGTAGACTGTTCCAAAGTTCCGGTGCTAAATAGGAAAAGCAGCAGTCAATTTTGATATTCTAGGTATTATCAACTGGCCGGAATTTTGAGATCGCAATAGACATGAAGGACTATAATGCACTAAGAGTTTGCTCAAGTACTGCAGAACTAAACCATATAGTGCTTTGTAAGTAATCAGCTATATTTTAAAAATTATACAATGTTTAATAGGCAGCCAATGCAGTGTTGATACAACGGGGCTATTATGGTTATAGTTCATGGTTCTGGTAAGAACTCGAGCTGCTGCATTTCGAACCAGCAGTAGTTTGTTATTAAGCGTGCAGGGCAACCTCCCAGTAGAGCATTACAATAATCTAGTCTTGATGTCATGAACGCATTAACCAATTGTTCCGCATTTTCCGCAATCTTTGGCTACATTTATTTCAGAAGAATTTTGTCTGTAGTGACCAGTGTTTTTGTCAGTAGCTTTCCATTCACATGTGTAGGGTGCTTTGTGTCGCGTGTGGAAGACCATTTTTGTCCGCCACCACCAAAGACCTTTTTTGACCCAGAAAAAAAACCCCTCTAAATGTTAACAAATTTGGCCTGGAAAAAATAAAAAATGCATGTTTCAGTTAAAATGCATTGTGGTAGCTAATGATTTACAGCATACAAAATTCTTTTTGAAATCAGATTTTATTTTTATTTAGAAAAAAATGTGAAAATACAGAAAATGTTAATACGTTAACAAACAATATAATTTGGCATAATACCACTTAAACAAAACTATTACTGTATAGTCTAAACACTGTATAGTAGAACATACTTTTGGTTTGGGATCAATTAAACGTGCCTGGATCAACATAGGCATAGGCCAGGAAATCTCCTAGTTTGTTCCCTTTATCGTCATAGTGAAACATTCGAAAGCACTGGTCACAAAACAGACAGGGGTCCGTAGGGGCAAGAGCATCACTGGTTGTTATCCACCTGCCAAAGATAAAACAACTTCCTTTCAGTATAAAAAAAATAAATAAATTAAGATTAATACATTATAGAAATGTTCAGTTTTAAAAATACTCAAACTCAGAAACCCAGTTTCAACTACCCCCCCAGTGTCCGTGAAAAATCCGTGCAGCAGGACTATTAATTTATTTATATAGCCTATTCAGTTTAGTTTTCTATTTAGCCTATTATAGATAGGACTATACTATACTGTCAATTGATTGTGAAGTTAGACTCGAAAATTGCAGATCAAGCGCATGGGGCTGCATGTCTTCTCTTGTTATGAATTGTATCCTATTTTCCATTAACTACACGCAGTGATATGGAACTCTGTAATTATGCGGTTCAAACTTGCCTGAAACTACTTTAGCCGTGCGTTTCCCTGAAAATAATTGCACAACTTTAGAATGTTCTCAACCAATCAGAATCAAGCATTCAACAGCCCTGTAGTATAATGCAATATAGATGACACTGAAACTGTTGTTATATTGACAGAGTATTCAAAGCGCTTGCAAAATGATGACAATGCAGCAACCGCCATTTCAACAATATACAGGTCCTTCTCAAAAAATTAGAATATTGTGTTAAAAATCATTATTTTTTGTAATGTACCGATAAACATTAGACTTTCATATATTTTAGATTCATTACACACAACTGAAGTAGTTCAAGCCTTTTATTGTTTTAATATTGATGATTTTGGCAAAAAAGTAAAGAAAAAACAAAAAAAACAATAAAAGAAGTGTTTTTAATACAAAACAAGTCAACCTTCAAATAATTATGTTCAGTTATGCACTCAATATTTGGTCGGGAATCCTTTTGCAGAAATGACTGCTTCAATGTCGTGTGGCATGGAGGCAATCAGCCTGTGGCACTGCTGAGGTGTTTTGGAGGCCCAGGATGCTTCGATAGCGGCTTTAAGCTCATCCAGAGTGTTGGGTCTTGCTTCTCTCAGCTTTCTCTTCACAATATCCCACAGATTCTCTATGGGGTTCAGGTCAGGAGAGTTGGCAGGCCAATTGAGCACAGTAATACCATGGTCAGTAAACCATTTACCAGTGGTTTTGGCACTGTGAGCAGGTGCCAGGTCATGCTGAAAAATGAAATCTTCATCTCCATAAAGCTTTTCAGCAGATGGAAGCATGAAGTGCTCCAAAATCTTCTGATAGCTAGCTGCATTAACCCTGCCCTTGATAAAACACAGTGGACCAACACCAGCACCCCAGACCATCACTGACTGTGGGTACTTGACACTGGACTTCAGGCATTTTGGCATTTCCTTCTCCCCAGTCTTCCTCCAGACTCTGGTACCTTGATTTCCGAGTGACATGCAACCACTGAGCAACAGTCCAGTGCTGCTTCTCTGTAGCCCAGGTCAGGTGCTTCTGCCGCTGTTTCTGGTTCAAAAGTGGCTTGACCTGGGGAATGCGGCACCTTTAGCCCATTTCCTGCACACGTCTGTGCACGGTGGCTCTGGATGTTTCTACTCCAGACTCAGTCCACTGCTTCCGCAGGTCCCCCAAGGTCTGGAATCGGTCCTTCTCCACAATCCTCCTCAGGGTCCGGTCACCTCTTCTCGTTTTGCAGCGTTTTTTGTCACACTTTTTCCTTCCCACAGACTTCCCACTGAGGTGCCTTGATACAGCACTCTGGGAACAGTTTAAATTTTGGGTTTTCATGAGCTCTATGCCAAAATCATCAGTATTAATACAATAAAAGACCTGAAATATTTCAGTTGGTGTGCAATGAATCTAAAATAGAATCTAGTTTAAAAAGAATCTAATATACAGGGGTTGGACAATGAAACCGAAACACCTGGTTTTACAACACAATAATTTGTTAGAATGGTGAGGGCCTCATTTTGCATCCAAATACAGCACCAATTGACAGATAGAAGTCCTTCACAGTGACCAGAGGGATTATAAACTGTCCCTCTTCCAGAAAAGTGTCCAGGTCACTATATGACGCTGGTAGACTCGCTCCTCCAAAACACCTCAATAATATTCAGATCTGGTGACTGTGCAGACCATGGGAGATGTTTAACATCACTTTCATCTTCATCAAACCCTTCTGTCACAAGTCTTGCTGTGTGTGTTGGTGCATGATCATGCTGATACACGGTTTGAGCATCATGATCCTCCAGAAGGGTTTGGTTGTCCTCGGCAGTGTCGTGTCCATCAAATACAATCAGGATTGTCATGATATTGGAGCTCAAACCATCACTGATCCACCCGTGCTTTACTCTGAAGATTGGCCGCCAGGCATATGGATGTGAAACCTCCAACATTGGCCAGTGTTTCAGTTTCATTGTCCAACCCCTGTATATATATATATATATATATATATATATATATTAGGGGTGTAACGGTACATGTATTCATATTGAACCGTTTCGGTTTGAGGCTTCCGGTTCGGTACGCATACAAACCGATTGATTGCTTGGACCATTTTTCTTGCCGGCAAAATTCGTGCTGACGCGGCCAACACAACATTGCACAACATCAAATGGCAAGCGTAATGAAAGCAGAACGAAACTGCGCTCCTCGTTATGTGCTTCACGGATCGTTTATCAGTTCGGACCAGCAACATCTGTGCAGCGCGAGCCGATCTCGATCAAGCAACACTGTTACTACACAGCGCTAAGAGATCCGGTAAAGAAAAGATTTGAATTCGCCACTGAGGTAATAACATCGCTGCGAGATCTAGTGAGAAGCATTCACATTTCTCCGTTATTAACCGTAGATCTCTATTAGATCAAACAGCGCTGACGTGGAAACCAGGAGAAACATTGTGCCGTGAATAAACTAGTAATACTTTACGTCCACAGACCAGCAACATTCACCATGGATTTAATATAGTAACACAAACTGGAATCAGTTTGGCTGGAATGGTGAAATGCTTTCAAGTACTTCACACATCTTTTTCCAGCACTTCAAAATTCAAATATTATATAAATAAATATACATTTAAATGTTATTTTTAATCTGATGACCAAAACATTATTTGTTCATCCTTCAAAGATGACCCCATTTATAAACCTGAAAGTTTCAAGATCTAGGAAAACTCACACTTATTGGTAACACTTTACAATAAGGTTCATTAGTTAACATGTACTAAGAATGAACAATACTTCTTCAGCATTTATTAATCTTAGTTAATATTAATTCCAAAATGTACTAATACGTTATTAAAATCAAAGGTTGTATTAGTTAACATTAGTTAATGCACTGTGAACTAACATGAACACACAATGAACAGCTCTATTTGTATTAACTAACATTAACAAAGATTAATAAACAATGTCACTAATGCATTGCTCATCGTTAGTTCATGTTAGTTAATGCATTTACTAATGTTAACGAATGAACCTTATTGTAAAGTGTTACCCACTTATTTAAAAATATTTTTTCTTTAAACAAATAGGAAATTTCTCTGGCATTTCTTTCTTTTTGCTGTATCGAAAACGTACAGAACCGTGACTTTAAAACCGAGGTACGTACCGAACCGAACTGTGTACCGTTACACCCCTAATATATATATATATATATATAGTCCAATTTTGAATGAAAGCCTCATTATTATGCGGATCTTTGTCTCTCTCAGGTGAGAATCACCTAATTATACATGATGAGGGCTGGCCTGTTCACGTCCATTTGCATATTGTCTTGGCAAATAATTTTTTTTTTTTTTCACAATATAACCCAATTCACAGTTTTATTAGAATGATTAGACAGGATGATTTTCAGATCATTGTGAAGAAAAAACTCTAGGCCACAACACCCATTAGTCTTTCTGGATGGCCTATAAATTGCGGCAGTTACGGTTTACCTGCTGATATAGAGATGACACACAGAACACTTCCGAGTCACGACTCTATGCTTGTGAGTGATGAGCGGGTAGAGCTTTACGTCTAAACAGTCATCCTGATGGACCAGTCTATCACCATATAAAAGACAGAAACAAATAAAATTAAAGCTGCAAGCAGCATTTAGCGGGGTTCAAGCAGTTTAGGCCTTTAAGGCCTTTAAGCACAAAAGCATCAAAAGACATTAAGTTTTAAGTTTCAATAATGGCAATTTACTATAGGGTATACATTGTTTTTAACATTTTTAACAATTATAGCGCCACCTATAGTCCGATCTCCATGAAACTTTGCATGCTTGTTGAATACGTTATGACACATGTGCTCATCAATTTTTGTGAAGTTCTGACTTTTCCTTTAGGATTTATAGGCTTTTGGGTGCATTTTGTCATGCCCCCTTTTTTAAATGACCCTGTAATAGCAAAACAAATGACAAAGTTCAACTTTTTTTGATAATTATTGATCTAGAGAGTCCAAAGAATTGTCCCAGACTGGTCTGGTTCCGATCGGGCAAAAAACCAGGGACTAGTTCGCAAAAGTAGGTTTTTAACATATTCGTGAATATTTAACGAACGATTTGATTGACAGCAATGGTTCTTGAGGCAAAGTTGTTCAGCATGAGGAGATCTATCAATTGATATACATATTGTGGGGGTGTGTGCAACACCACGTGATAACAGAGCCATAAAACTCGTTAGCGCCAACTAGTGGCCGATTTCTTTCAAAATTCTTACAGACCTCTAGGGCCATGAGTCAAACATGCCCAACGAGTTTCGTTCCGATCGGCCTTCGTTAACCTTGTTTTATAGGTGCTCAAACTTCATTGGCCGGTGGCGGCCATGTTTTTTGAGATACACCAATGTCCTCATACACATACATGGGGCCTTGGACAAAGACACTGGATACCAATTTTCAAGTCAATCGGACTAACGGTCAGCTGGTCAGAGCTCTTTTTTAGTTTTATTCGTTTTATAGCGCCACCTAGTGTTCCATCGTGGCGATTTTTTTACTGTGACCTCAAATTGAACGTATACATATGTGTACCGAGTTTGTTGAGGATATCTCATTTACTTCTCGAGTTATAGCCATTTTAGTAAAATAGGCTCCTCCCACAACATATATTTTGCGCCCCCTAGCGACCGCAAAGAGACTTTTTCAACATTTTTTTGATAATTATTGATCTTCAGACTCCAGAGAACATTTCTGCACTGGTTTGGTTCCGATCGGGCAAAAAACCAGGGACTAGTTCGCAAAAGTAGTTTTTCGACAAAATTCAAAATGGCGGAAAAAATTCCATACCGGAAATGAAATCGGAGATATACGTTTTTTTCGTCAGGTGACCAGCTTTCCAATGATATAAGACACTTGAGTGTACGACTTACGGTCTAGGAGTTATGAGCCGTTTCGCGCAATTGGTTGCTATAGCGCCACCTATGGGCCAATCGGGCTCATAATTTGATAACCTCTCCTCGATTTTTGTACTACCATCTGACAAAGTTTCAGAGCTCTAGCCCTTACGGTTTGGGCTGCACGATGCGTTTTAGGGGAGAATAATAATAATAATAATTAAAGCTGCAAGCAGCATTTAGCGGGGTTCAAGCAGTTTAGGCCTTTAAGGCCTTTAAGCACAAAAGCATCAAAAGACATTAAGGTTTAAGTTTCAATAATGGCAATTTACCATAGGGAATACATTGTTTTTAACATTTTTAACAGTTATAGCGCCACCTATAGTCCGATCTCCATGAAACTTTGCATGCTTGTTGAATAAGTTATGACACATGTGCTTATCAATTTTTGTGAAGTTCTGACTTTTCCTTTAGGATTTATAGGCTTTTGGGTGCATTTTGTCATGCCCCCTTTTATTAATGACCCTGTTATAGCAAAACAAATGACAAAGTTCAACTTTTTTTTGATAATTATTGATCTAGAGAGTCCAAAGAATTGTCCTAGACTGGTCTGGTTCCGATCCGGCAAAAAACCAGGGACTAGTTTGCAAAAGTACGTTTTTAACATATTCGTGAATATTTAACGAACGATTTGATTGACAGCAATGGTTCTTGAGGCAAAGTTGTTCAGCGTGAGGAGATCTATCAATTGATATACATATTGTGGGGGTGTGTGCAACACCACGTGATAACAGAGCCATAAAACTCGTTAGCGCCAACTAGTGGCCGATTTCTTTCAAAATTCTTACAGACCTCTAGGGCCATGAGTCAAACATGCCCAACGAGTTTCGTTCCGATCGGCCTTCGTTAACCTTGTTTCATAGATGCACAAACTTCATTGGCCGATGGCGGCCATGTTTTTTTAGATACGCCAATGTCCTCATAGATATACATGGGGCCTTGGTCCAAGACACTGCATACCAATTTTCAAGTCAATCGGACTAACGGTCATGTGGTCATAGCCCTTTTTATGTTTTTTTCATATTATAGCGCCACCTAGTGTTCAATCGTCGCTATTTTTTTACTGTGACCTCAAATTGAACTCTTACACATGTGTACCGAGTTTGGTGAAGATATCTCATTTACTTCTCGAGTTATAGCCATTTTATTAAAATAGGCTCCTCCCACAATGTTTATTTTGCTTCCCCTAGCGACCGGAACGAGAAATTTCAACATTTTTTTGATAATTATTGATCTTCAGACTCCAGAGAACATTTCTGCACTGGTTTGGTTCCAATCGGGTAAAAAACCAGGGACTAGTTTGCAAAAGTAGTTTTTCAACAAAATTCAAAATGGCGGAAAAATTTGCATACCGGAAATGAAATCGGAGATATACGTTTTTTTCGTCAGGTGAATAGCTTTCCAATGATATAAGACACTTGAGTGTACGACTTACGGTCTAGGAGTTATGAGCAGTTTCGCGCAATTGGTTGTTATAGCGCCACCTATGGGCCAATCGGGCTCATAATTTGATAACCTCTCCTCGATTTTTGTACTACCATCTGACAAAGTTTCAGAGCTCTAGCCCTTACGGTTTGGGCTGCACGATGCGTTTTAGGGGAGAATAATAATAATAATAAAAATCAGTACAAAAACAATAGGGTTTCAGCACTTCGTGCTTGAACCCCTAATAAAAATCAATACAATTACAATAGGGTTTCAGCACTTCGTGCTTGAACCCCTAATTAACCACCATTCACACACTATTAAATCCTTGACTATGACTTTCAAAAATCTGTTAACTTTTTACACTTGTAGCAACTCATAATGTAACTAGATGAAAAAAAAAGTTTTTCAAGACAAACTTTGATGTTAGCTTGAGAATGCCTGACTAGAAAGTTTGAAGAAGTTTTAAAAGCTCTAAGATTGAAGGGTTTGAGGGCAATACAATCTATCAGAAAAACAGATAGACCAGGGGTATTCAATTAAAGTTCCATTCAATTAAAGAGGTCCAGTATCTATATTTCCTTCCTAGTGGAGGTCCGGACAAAAACGTAAAAATTCCGGTTCACATGGACACACGGAAGCGATCATTTTTTTCTTTATTATGAATTAAGGCCAGACAATATTTTTGTTGAGGTCAATTTGTAGAGAAAGACTAAATGCCTGTGCACGTATATATCCAACCACGCATCACATCCCTACTGCGCATCAAAAGTGCGGCCTCTTATTGTTCACACTAATATGGACGATTAAATTGAAACTTGTTGTCTTGAATGCATAAATTAGTTGGGCCATAGAGGGTTTTTTTTTTTTTTAATTGCTTTGCCGCTCTTGTAGCGCAAATGACGTGAATGGCGCATTTTGTTTGTTTCAACCTTTTTGTTTAAAAAGGTTTCAGATAGTTAAAAAAAAAATCATGAAAATATGTGAATGTGTTCGATCTGATAACATGCCTTCAATGCAGTTGACTGTTAAATGTTACGTGTTCCGTGAACGAACAGCGTTGTCGTTCATTGATGAGGTAGAGCTGTCCATTGTGCTGATTTTGTTCGAGACACTTTTTCAGCCGTCAGGTGTCGTCGTCGGTAGCTTTGGCACCGATTACACGCTAAAGGGATAGTTCACTTCAAAATGAAAATTCTGTCATCATATAGGCCTAGGCCTACTCACACTCAAGTTGTTTCAAACCTGTATGAATTTCTTTCTTCTGCTGAACACAAAGGAATATATTTTGAAGAATGTCAGTAACCAAACAGTTAACTGGAACCATTGACTTCCATAGTATTTTTTAGTAAGTCAATGGGACCAGTTTACTGTTTGGTTACTGACATTCTTCAAAATATATTCCATTGTGTTCAGCAGAAGAAAGACATTCATACATGTTTGAAACAACTTGAGGGTGAGTATATGATGACAGAAGCTGTCCTTTCGGCTGTCCGTACCTACTCTAAGGGGAGGCTCACATTCACCCAATTTGAAAACCCCTGCTATAGACTAAACACGTACTACGCAAGTACGCATTTGCACGCCATCTGCGTTTTCACATATTTACGTTTTGGAATTTTCTGCAGAGATGATTTTTTTTTTTGTAAAAAAAAAAAATATATATATATATATATATATATATAAATAAATGTATTATTTTTTCAAGGTTTGCTTTCTCAAGCCACCAGGCACTGATGTTGTGCAAATGAGCACATTGAGGGTTTTCTGTTAGAACAGATCTGTGTAAGCGGCCACTAATTTACAAACTAATCATCTTTGCAAACGAAGTGAATCAATCAAAACTAACTTTAGCTGGACAATAACTTTATTCTAGGGCTGCTGTAAAGTCAAAACAATCTGTTACTATAATTTCCTATTCATCACTGTAAAGCTGCTTTGAACCAATTTATATTGTTAAAAGCGCTATATAAATGAAGGTGACTTGAATTAAGATTTTAAACATACTGTAAGGGAATTTTTTTTTAATACATTTTTTTTAATATGACAATGCTTTTGGTGACTTTATAAATGTAATACATGTATTCATAATACATTTAAAAAATATATTATTATTAGCTCAATATATTATTGTTTTGAGAAATTGATTATGTGCAGTTACTATGCTTTGTAATTACATTATGGGTTGCTACAACACCAATTTGCAATTATTTTATAAGTAGAACACAATCTTTTTGAAACTTTGGAAATAAATGTGTATTAAGTCTTGGAAAAATTAGCATGAAATGAAAATGGGCTGACCTGACATCAGTGAGGATAACAACATGCTCACAATCACCCTGGTGAGTGTATAAATATGGAAACCCAACTTTCATCTTCAGGTCATAGAAAGATGTGTCCTCCATCTTAGCAGTCTTGAAATCTGGAAAGTCTCTGGTTCTGGCCCATTCTTGAGTGGTCCTTCAACAAATACAGACATTTTAAATCTGAATAATCCACAATTAGCTAGATTTTTTTCTTCTTTTTAAAAAAAAAATCCATTTAATTGCTATTGACAAAGAGACAGAAAATAACTGGTTATTCGATTAAATAAGACAGGGAAAAAATGAAGTGGTGACTACTAAGTATAAAAACAAAATATAGCTGCGAGCAGCGATTACGGGCCCAGGCCAGTTGCACCGCAACCCCGGTGCCTTTAGGTAACGCCGCCTTTGGCCCTTCATCGCTTTATATTAGGGCTGAACGATTAATTGCATTTACGATAATACGGGATATGATGAAACGCGATTTTGTAATCGCAAGAGCTGCGATTACGCTGGTCACGTGACACGCGAGGGAAAAGCAGTCTGCAAGATCAAGCATCAACTTGCCACACTACGCGGTCTGGCGTTCAGAAAAGAACAGTTTATTTTTAATGTATGTGATATTGTGTTATTTATTCTCTCCCCAACAATCCTGGATCGATTCAGAGCATTTCAGAATCGAGGCTGAGCTTAGTTTTTAAACACAGATGCGTGATGTCGCTGCACGTGCTTTAGAAACTAACCGTATTCTGCTTGCTTCTATTTTCTCGCTCTCTCTCTCGCTCTCTTACTCACTCACACACACACACACGACACCGCTCGAACCTTCCGAAACATAGTAACATTATTTCCTAAAGTTCGGGGTTGAACCGAATTACAAGGACATTCGCGGGCTTCAGTGAACAGGTTTTGCTGCTTTGCTTGATGTTATAACTTTAATCTTGCAGTGCGCGTTGTCTCCCGCGGGAATTTTCCTTACAAATTCTTCATAGAGGCATTATTTATGTCTTTTGGAATGCAGCTGGCTTAAATATTAAAACTATGAAAATCACTGAGAAGGCTGCTTTCATTTTAAAATACTAACGCGCGCTTTGTGAAAAACGCTCGTGCATGCAGCTGTGAGCGACTCATTGGTTAAATGTACTTGCATGTCAAAATGCTTTTATGACGTGAAATTAATGTAAACACGGTCAGTTCTTAAACCAACAGGACAAACCACATTTACAATTTCAAAAGAGATATGTGCATTAGTGTGAATGCAGCTTATCATATCTAAACTGAGGGGGAAATCATTCCAGCTCTTGAATGATAAACATTCAGACAGCCTACTTTTAAATACCGAGACCACTCTTTGGTGATTGCTTGTAATTTTTTTGTTTCTCTTTATTTACTAGCTTTTATATTTTGAAGCTATATAATTTTATATTATTTAAAGCCTATTTAAAATTCTTAACATGTAATTGGTTGTAATTAAATGTTATTTTTTAAAGTATGTGTTTTTACACACATAATTAAAGACATATTTTAAGTGTTAAGATTAATTAATAAGAAAAAAAGTAGATCAGATCATGAGCTGCCTAAAGATTCCCATCCCTACTGTACAATGATTTATTGCTCGTCTTTGTCGACTAATACAGAAGGTAAAGAACTTTTCTTTTAAATTGCATATTAAATCGCAATATTGGTTTTTGGAAAAAAAATAAAAAAATATCGCAATTAGATTATTTTCCATAATCGTTCAGCCCTACTTTATATATATATATATATATATATATATATATATATATATATGTGTGTGTGTGTATAACGATACACGTATTCGTATTGAACCATTCGGTACGCATTTTTGAACCGAACGGTTTGTTGGACTATTTTTCCTGCAGACCAAAATTTAGTCATTTCAAATGTAGGCGCGTCACGCGTGGCAAGCGCACTCATAATATAAGAGACACTGGCGTGACCACAACATTGCCCAACATCAAATGGCAAATGTAATGCAAGTAGAATGGAACTGAGCTACTCGTTATTATGTGGTTGACGGACCGTTTATCAGTTTGGATCAATGCAGCGCGAGACGATCTTGATCATCAGCACTGTTACTACACAGTAGGGGTGTAACGGTACACAAAAATCACGGTTCGGTACGTACGTCGGTTTTAAAGTCACGGTTCGCTACGTTTTCGATACAGCAAAAAGAAAGAAATGCCAGAGAAATTTCCTATTTGTTTAAAGAAAAAATATTTTTAAATAAGTGTGAGTTTTCCTAGATCTTGAAACTTTCAGGTTTATAAATGGGGGTCATCTTTGAAGGATGAACAAAGAATGTTTTGGTCATCACATTAAAAATAACATTTAAATACAGTGCCTTGCGAAAGTATTCGGCCCCCCCGAAACTTTTTGACCTTTTGCCACATTTCAGGCTGCAAACATAAAGATATAAAACTGTAATTTTTTGTGAAGAATCAACAACCGGTGGGACACAATCATGACGTGGAACGAAATTTATTGGATATTTCAAACTTTTTTAACAAATAAAAAACTGAAAACTTGGGCGAGCAAAATTATTCAGCCCCCTTAAGTTAATACTTTGTAGCGCCACCTTTTGCTGCGATTACAGCTGTAAGTCGCTTGGGGTATGTCTCAATCAGTTTTGCACATCGAGAGACTGAAATTTTTGCCCATTCCTCTTTGCAAAACAGTTCGAGCTCAGTAAGGTTGGATGGAGAGCGTTTGTGAACAGCAGTTTTCAGTTCTTTCCACAGATTCTCGAATAAATTAAGGTCTGGACTTTGACTCGGCCATTCTAACACCTGGATATGTTTATTTGTGAACCATTCCATTGTAGATTTTGCTTTATGTTTTGGATCATTGTCTTTTTGGAAGACAAATCTCCGTCCCAGTCTCAGGTCTTTTGCAGACTCCATCAGGTTTTCTTCCAGAATGGTCCTGTATTTGGCTCCATCCATCTTCCCATCAATTTGAACCATTTTCCCTGTCCCTGTTGAAGAAAAGCAGGCCCAAACCATGATGCTGACACCACCATGTTTGACAGTGTGGATGGTGTGTTCAGGGTGATGAGCTGTGTTGCTTTTACGCCAAACATAACGTTTTGCATTGTTGCCAAAAAGTTCGAGCACCTTCTTCCACATGTTTGGTGTGTCTCCCAGGTGGCTTGCGGCAAACTTTAAACGACACTTTTTATGGATCTCTTTAAGAAATGGCATTCTTCTTGCCACTCTTCCATAAAGGCCAGATTTGTGCAGCATACGACCATTGTTGTCCTATGGACAGAGTCTCCCACCTCAGATGTAGATCTCTGCAGCTCATCCAGAGTGATCATGGGCCTCTTGGCTGCATCTCTGATTAGTCTTCTCCTTGTATGAGCTGAAAGTTTAGAGGGAGGGCCAGGTCTTGGTAGATTTGCAGTGATCTGATACTCCTTCCATTTCAATATTATTGCTTGCACAGTGCTCCTTGGGGTGTTTAAAGCTTGGGAAATCTTTCTGTATCCAGATCCAGCTTTAAACTTCTCCACAACAGTATCTCGGACCTGCCTGGTGTGTTCCTTGTTCTTCATGATGCTCTCTGTGCTTTAAACGGACCTCTGAGACTATCACAGAGCAGGTGCATTTATAGAGACTTGATTACACAGAGGATTCTATTTATCATCATTAGTCATTTAGGTCAACATTCAGGATCATTCAGAGATCCTCACTGAACTTCTGGAGAGAGTTTGCTGCACTGAAAGTAAAGGGGCTGAATAATTTTGCTCACCCAATTTTTCAGTTTTTTATTTGTTAAAAAAGTTTGAAATACCCAATAAATTTCGTTCCACTTCATGATTTTGTCCCACCTTTTGTTGATTCTTCACAAAAAATTACAGTTTTACATCTTTATGTTTGCAGCCTGAAATGTGGCAAAAGGTCGAAAATTCAAGGGGGCCAAATACTTTTGCAAGGCACTGTATTTATTTATATAATATTTGAATTTTGAAGTGCTGGAAAAAGATGTGTGAAGTACTTGAAAGCACCGAACTGATAAACGATCCATGAAGCACATAACGAGTAGCGCAGTTTCGTTCTGCTTTCATTACGCTTGCCATTTGATGTTGCGCAACGTTGTGTTGGCCGCGTCAGCACGAATTTTCCCGGCAGGAAAAATGGTCCAAGCAAGCAATCGTTCGGTTTGTATGCGTACCGAACCGGAAACCTCGAACCGAAACGGTTCAATACGAATACATGTACTGTTACACCCCTACTACACAGCCAAATCCAGTAAAGAAAACATTTGAATTCGCCACTGAAGTAATAACATCGCTGCGAGATCTAGTCAGAAACATTCACATTTCTCCGTTATTAATGGATCAAACAGCGTTGACGTAGAAAACAGGAAGAAACATTGTGCCATGAAAGAACTATCCAGGTAGGCTACTATAATGCTTTCAAGTAAAATCACGTCCGTTTTATTTTGATATTATGAATACAATTGCTGCCCTCAAATGTTGATCTGAACTAAAATAAACCTTTGTTTATAAGTACTACAATATTACATTTCATATTGTCCAAGGACCTGTTTTGTTTTATATACTCCTAAGAAAATTCAAGTAACGTTATAGCTCCATCGTTTTAAGAAAAATATAATTAAAAAAATTAAATAAAGGAAATTTCTCTCCCATTTCTTTGTTTTTGCTGTATTGGAAACGTACCGAACCGTATCGAATCGAACCGTGCATTTTGTGAACCGTTACACCTAATATATATATATATATATATATATATATGTATGTAAATGTATATGTATATGTATATATATATATATATATATAGTATATAGCTTGCTGTAGAGCTTGCATCAATGCGGACTCGACGCGCTGTGCGCTGTAACTCCATGTGGCTTCAAGCGCATCATTCTCAGCTCAGGATGTGCATAAGTGCTTTGTGCCACACTGTACTGAGCCTTTCATATCATAATGCAGTGACGCAATGACAGATTATTAATTGCCTTTCTTGTTCTGTCCTATCTAATATATGTTGAAAATAGAGATTAAGAGCCTGTGCCACGTCAATCTGGCTCAGTAGAAGTGTATCATTAATCTTTAATTCAGTTGGTCTTGTTTTAATATTCTTTTGACCACTCAGTTTTTTAATCTGTCTCCAT